ACTTATGAACTTTAATATGCATTATACAGAGGCAAGAGGAAAAGAAAAAAATACCATCTAAACTTTTCTAAAGACAGTAAGTTCCCCTCAGACATGCATTCATATAAACTCCTACACCTAAATGAATCGCGATTTGTTTAGCATCTCAACCGATTTGAATCGTCACATATTTTGAATCGATTTTCAACCGGCAGTTAATCGTTACATCCCTAGTTTCATCGCAACTTTATTGTAGGTGTTCAGGGTCTGCTATTATGCTAAGCGTCTGTATAAGTAGGGTGGCTTGTTACCTGCTATAGTGAATATGACTGATAAAAGTCAGTGTGGGTGGTGAAGGTGAGTGAGAGATGGAGTCAGAATGTATTGATTGTTTGATTCTGATATGAATGCTGTGCTCCAGACTGGCCCTTTGACTCACTTCCTGTCCTCCCCTCTGTTGTGACACATTAACAATGAGCTGGGATTGGGGCAGGGCTTTGAAAACCAAATGGTCATTATAATCTGAAGGGTCCAGAGCGAGACTTGTTAAAAAGTTCTAAGAGAGACCAAAAGAGACTTTGTGTTTGCTGTAATAGCCACAGTTTACTGTGAGGAGGAGCAAATTGGATTACGATCTAGTTTAAGGCTAAAGTTTGTAATATCTGTAGTCTTAAACAAGATTGAAAAAAATAACTAGATAAATATAACTAAAAAATTAATAATAATTAATTAATAATTTAAGACAATTAAGAGGTTTTGAGGTTAATTTTTTTTATTTTAAATTAGGTTTAAAAGCTGGAAATATGAGGCTATATAGATAAATAGATGTAAGTGGTGCTTGCCTGTGAAAAACATTTTTGTTGTGTTTTAAAACGGAGCATTGTTTTAAAGTTTTTGATAGAGATGCACCGATTGCAATTTTCTTGGCCGATTCCGATTTTTTGTTAGTGTGATCTGCCGATGCCGATTCCGATTTTCTTTCTAAGAACTATAATTGACAGCATATACAAACAAAAATCTAATTTTCTTCAACGTAAAGTTTTATTTTCATAAAAAAAAACAAAAGTAAAAAGTCAGTAATAAAATAAGAGCAAATACAAAAATTGCAAACAAAAGCACAAATAAATGCAATAGAATAAAGAGAGCTATGAAACTAAGTTTTTCAGGTTAAGTAAGTTTTTATTCAGGTAAGAAATAATACAGAAATTAAAGTAATCAAATGTAAAATAACACATCCAGTGTTATT